TCTCTTTTCCCGACCGTAGCTGCTACCTTGACGTGGTGGTCGGGCTTGCTTATCGTGATGACTCAACCAAGCTATATTGGCTGGAACACATGTTCCTGCAGGTTCTACCATGCCACGCAGGTCGATTGGAGAACGGAAAGACTAGAAGCAGCAACCCAAGGTCTGAGGGCGAAGTCGTACTGCTGACTGTACAGAGGTGTGATAGCAGTAAGGTGTTTCCCTCGAATAACCAGCATCTGCAGCGATGCTGCCTTCTCATAAGGAACGAAGGGGTTAGAAAAGAGTGACCCTAAAAATGTCACACCTCACCTTACCCCACGGATTTCCGTCTCCGGTGGTAAGGCTCTTTCAAGAACGGAGCTAACACAATAAAAACCGCCAACAAAAAGGCCGTGCGCGACCGGCCTCAAGCAGTTGTCCCTTGGGCTCTGCGGTCACGCACCCAGGTCATTAAGACCAACAATAATCCGATTTCCTTTTCAGGTCCTTCAAGAAATACCCTTCCACGGTGTGGGCAGCCGGTAAGTTACACCAGCCCTCATACCCGTAACAGCACACGAGACCAAGTTGGTCACATTCAAATTCTTCCTACACATCCTAATAACTATCTTATCTCCACAACCAACCCTTCTTACGTCCCTTTATCACCTCGCCCCGCTAGTGCGAACGATTCGAGTACGCGGAATGTTATTCCCGGTCTCTTGAAACCACGCTCCAAACTACACGTAGGAGCTTTCAACGTCCGAACACTGTGCCAAATAGGACTACAGGCTTCATTAGCTAGGACTTTAGAATCTCGCGCCATCGATGTGTGCTGCGTCTCGGAAACGCGCACACAGGATCCTAGTAGTGTCAATTATTTGAACTCACCATGTCAAAGTAACGAACCAACTCGATTTACGCTTCGTGTATCTGGAAGCCCTGATGCTGCTTCCCGTGGCCTCGCCGGCGTATATAGCACTGAGTCCTAGGGCAGAACTAGCTCTCTAAGACTGGATCCCAGTACACAGTCGTTTGTGCGCTATCCGACTAAACGGAATAGTAAGGACTCGGAAAGATAGGGACACTCGTCGTTGCCTCTTCGTCGTCCCTGCATACTCTCCCACTGACTGCAGCTCAGATGATGTAAAAGATGAGTTTTACAGAAAGCTTTCCGACCTTCTCCGAAAAGCTAGGCGCTCTGATGTAGTAATAGTGGCTGGGGACTAATGCTCAAGTAGGTAAACTAAGCAAAAGAGAAAGACACCTGAGTGGACCTTATGGTGTCGTGGCTAAAAGAACAGATAACGGCGACCGTCTGTTGCAGCTATGCTCAGATAACCGCCTCTTTCTTGCAGACACTAGCTTCAAGTATAAGGAAAAACATCTTTTGACATGGCGACCACCTAATTCATCTCAACGTTGGACCCAAATAGATCACATCGCTATCAGCCACCGATGGAGGGGCTCGATAGAAGACTGTCGCTTATTCTGGAGCATATGCTTAGATTCAGATCATGCTCTAGTGCGTGCGTATATTTGTCTGCGTCTTACTGGACGTAGGAAAGATGATACAAGGAAACCCCTTAGGGTCCTACTTAATGATCGTCAAGCTAAGAGTATATTTCAGGAACAACTAGAAAAACAGTAAGGCAGCCATGTAAGTGATGCCCACCCCGAGACAGCATGGAATGATATCCGAAAAGCTGTGGAAACAGCAGTGATATCTGCTAGTACGGTAAACCACAAGGTTAGGGCGAAACACTGGATCTCAGCAGCGTCTACCGCACTGATAGATGCTCGAAAACTCATTCCATCTGGCTCTGAACATAACGAAGAGCGGAGTCCGGTTAAGCGTAAGTTGACAAGAAGCCTACACGATGATCGTGAACAGTGGTGGGTAGCGAAAGCAAGAGAGATGGAAAAGGAAGCGGCAATAGTTAATAGCAGACAACTGTCCAGACTTGTTAAGGAAACCGGTATTAGGAACCCAACTGTTAGCAAAACTATCTCAGAAAAAGATGGACATATTATTCATTCTCAGTCTAGGAGATTGGATCGATGGGCAGAACACTTTAGGGATCAGTTCAACTGGCCTTCAGCAACACTTCGGTTTCTCACGATCTCCAGTCGACCTGAATGGCAAATTAATGTAAGTCCTCCGACTCTTTACGAAGTTGAAAAAGCTATAGGAAATCTGAAGCGAGGGAGAGCAGCAGGCCCTGACAGGTTTACTCCTGAGATTTTTAAGGATGGTGGTCCAGTATTAGCAGTGATATTGACTGAGGTCTTGAATAGAATTTGGGAACTGGACGTAATCCCATCTGACTGGTCTCAATCACTGATTGTGCCAGTCTATAAGAAAGGACAAAAGTCCTCTTGTGACAATCACAGAGGAATCAGTTTGACTAATATAGTGTCTAAAATATTAACTTCAATAAACTTCGACGTCTAACCAAAGCTCGTGAAGAGCAGACTAGAGAAAATCAGGCTGGTTTTCGACCTGGACGTGGTTGTATAGACCAGATATTCACACTACGTCAGGTCCTAGAACATAGACACACATTCGGACGCTCCACAATCGTAGTATTTCTCGACCTTATGGCGGCATTTGACTCTGTTGATCGTGAGGTTCTATGGCAGTGTTTGTCACTGGAAGGAGTACCAAAGAAGTACATTATTCTTACAAAGGCTCTCTACTCGAACACAACTAACTGGTCGAGTGAGAGCATATGGCGAACTGTCATCAGAATTGATTGCCCTAAGTTGTGTTCGTCAGGACTGTCCATTCTCTCCATTCTTGTTTAACTTTGTTATTGACGTCCTTTTAGAGATGACACTTTCCTCGTCTAAATTTCTAGGAGTTGAACTTCTATCGGGAGATCCGCTTGTTGACTTGGAATATGCCGATGACATAGTTCTATTTAGTGAAGACGCTGACAAAATGCAGGGTCTTGTGACCACTCTAAGCAACAATGCAGGCATGTTCGGGATGCGATTTTCTCCTTCAAAATGCAAAATGTTGCTTCAGGATAGGATTGAACCGCCTCCCGAACTAGTGATAGGGAGTGAAGTAGTTCAGCGTGTCGACCGCTTCACTTATCTTGGAAGTCTCATCAGCCCTTGTGGTCTGGTGTGTGACGAAATCTCGGTACGGATACAAAAGGCTCGATTAGCTTTTGCCAACTTGCGTCATTTGTGGCGTAGGCGAGATATCTGTCTATCAACCAAAGGACGTGTTTACTGCGCAGCAGTTCGTTCCGTCCTACTTTATGGCAGTGAAACATGGCCGGTAAGAGTAGAGAACATTCGTAGGTTACTAGTATTCGACCATAGATGTCTTCGAAACATTGCTCGCATCTCCTGGGACCACCGAGTAAGTAACTCAGTTGTTAGGAAACGGGTACTAGGTAAGGATGGCAAATCAATTGATGAAGTAGTGAAACTCAATCAGTTGAGAAGGCTGAGACATGTGTTGCGCATGCCCGACCACCGACTGCCCCGACGTGCGATGTTTTATGGTGTAGGAGTAGGTTGGAGGAAAGCTAGGGGTGGCCAGACCAAAACATGGCACAGATCCATGAAGTCACTGACAAGTGGACTGAGCCATGTTGGTAGATGTAAACTACTTGGTTGGGATCCGTGAGGTGATAGCAACCGATGGTTAGAGATCTTGAATGACATGGCTCAAAATCGTTTGCAATCGCACAGGTGCATCCACTCTTTGTGTCCTCCCAAATTCTAATCTTCTGAGTTCTTCATGTCGTTTATTTTCTTTCCAAATCTATTCCACTGGATTATGCTCCTTAAATAACATCATCAAACCCTAATGTTCCCTATCACTACTTATATTTTCACTACCTCTACCACTACGGGATTTGAATCGATAACAGAATCTCTGTGCTAATGTGGTATGGCAACTCGAACTGGTGTAAGTACGTACGAAGTTCCACGTTGTTACTGACTGACTGACTTTTGGCACATGTACATCCTGTGACGATCACCACGGTATTTACACCAAGTCACAAATGTTCTAATTATCATTGCAGGAACATCTCTACTACTCTCACAAACAAATGATTCATACACTCATCACTCACCCCACTTTTTTTCGTCCTCATCGAATTCATACAACTTTATACACAATATAGTCAGTCAGTCAGTAACAATGTGGAACTTCGTACGTACTTACACCAGTTCGAGTTGCCATACCACATTAGCACAGAGATGCTGTTATCGAATCAAATCCCATAGTGGTAGAGGTAGTGAAAGTATAAGTAGTGATAGGGAACATTAGGGTTTGATGATATTTAAGGAGTATAATTCAGTGGAATAGATTTGGAAAGAAAATAAACGACATGAAGAACTCAGAAGATTAGAATTTGGGAGGACACAAAGAGTGGATGCACCTGTGCGAATGCAAACGATTTTGAGCCATGTCATTCAAGATCTCTAACCATCGGTTGCTATCATCTCGCGGTCCTCAACCAAGTAGTTTACATCTACCAACATGGCTCAGTCCACTTGTCAGTGACTTCATGGATCTGTGCCATGTTTTAGTCTGGCCACCCCTAGATTTCTTCTAACCTACTTTTACACGAGAAAACATAGCACACAATATACGCTAAACATTTGGTTCGATTCGTGATTGCATCAATACTTGTCACCTCAACATTAACAAATTGATGTTATTTTACTATCCGACATTCACACGCTATAACTCTAAACCACATACTTCACCTTAAATCTGGTCACCTTTTCGGATTACTAATTTGAACATATATAATTGTAGAACCCGCAGAGGATTTGTTGAAAACAATATTCTTCGTTCATATATTAGTGTTTTAATATGATGGGGATTGAAATCAATAAAATAAATGACCTAATACTTTTAATTTTATGAAGAGTAGACCATCTTTTGCATTCTATAAATCCGATTATATTTCATTTAGTTTAGTTCTGTAATGAATTAATCACACATCAAACAATTCAGTCCTAACGAATGAAACGGATCTTAATATCCAGGGTGGCATGGATCAGTTACCTGGAAATGGATGTACATAAAACATGTTGATGAGTCCCGATAAACAGAAAACCCGGGTAATAATATCATTCCTTCAACTTTCCACAGTTATTCAAGACCTCTACAAGCATTACAATCATATCAAAATTAGCAGGGAACAAAAAATTAAGCACAACATATCTCAATCTATATATTACAAAAACTTACATCATATCAAACAATTCAAAATAAATGTAACTCATAGCAAAAAGACTAGGAACAAAACGACAATCATATTACTTCCCAATTACTTACTGTTCCATAAATTAATAAATAAAATGTAATTTAAGAACAAATATACTCTCATAGTAGCATAACAACAATCTGGAAAAATATCATTATGTAAAATAAAAATACTGTAGAAGTAGTAATAATAATAATAGTATAGATGAATTAGAAAGACAAGGTTTAACTGGCGATAGGTTCTCTTTCTGCTAAGTATTGTTATTTGGTTAAATTACTTAGCTCAAATCCTTTTGTATCGTACAATTTCTAAGAAAGAACCACTGTATTATGGAGAGTTTTCTCATTGGTTGATCGATTACCGCCATCACCATTAATAGGAACAGCCGTAGCACCAACGTCAATCACTGAAAGGGATCTATCCATATTCAATGTAACAACTGCTATAGGAGTCTGATAAGGCAAAAAACAAAAGTATGAAACAAACAAAAGTTATTTGGGGGGAATGAAAGAGAATCAAACAGTTCGTTGTTTAAAGTAGAGACGATTTGAAGTAGAAGTAGTCAATGTAGTCTAGATTAAAATAGCTATCGACTATCGGATTAGTGATTTGTTGTGCTATATATATCTCTCAATAAATGACTAAAGTTGAACACATATAATTCCATCTTAGCGACGAATTAGAATTTCATTTTCACTTGATTCTTAGAATTGTAAATGAACAATGCTGAAGATTTGCACTATAGAATGGAGTAAATGTATAGTACTTTTTGATTTCCAACGGTTCTCTAGCTGATGTCAGTTCATGATGAAAAATAACTTCATACTGATCTTTGTCCTCTGAACTAGCTACTTTTAAATAGCTTTCAAAAAAAGCTTTCAATCCCATTCTCGGCAATATCAGTACATAGTTATTTCAAAAGTGTCAGTAACAACAAGCAAACACACCCCAAGTTCTCGGAATGGAATAATTCGGAAATTGTAAGATAATTTTAGAAGAGCGTACTTCTACTGAGAGTCCAGGGTGCACAAACCCCAACGAAGAGTGATCGAATGCACTCCTTAATATCAACAATCAGGAAATATAAAAACTCATATAAAATCCCACACTATCAGTTATTCAAAGCCACGCAAACATATAACTGCAACGATTATACTGCGTAAAAATTATTCTATTAAGAATACACAGTCACAACTATGACTGGCAGAAAAGACTACTAGCAAAATCAAGTAGAAAAAGCTTCACATAACAGTTATCGTTAAGAAATTTGTGCCAACAATATACACCACAACAATAAACGCATTAGCATTGAAAAGAAACTGAAAGACGGAATGTTGTTTCTTCTTATCCAAACAAAGACAGAGAGATTAAAAGACATAGAATTACCGAAATCTAAATAAGTTCATCAAATGATATTCAAGCGAAAAAGATATATTCCTTGAAAAAACAGACAACATTATACCATCCAAATGCGTGCATGATTAACATACCCTTCTTGAACGCCATACATGAAGAAACCCGAACCAAATCTAAGTATTTTAACAAAAATAAATACAGTAATTTACATTTGAGAATAAATATTGTAGAATGTAAAACAAAAGTAAATATGTATTAAAACTGGAAATAGATATATCACTTAGAATTTATTAGATAATACACAATGTAATAGTTAATCAATTAATAATTTCTACAATAGGAATATTTTAAAACAAAGCCAACCTTTATATTTCAAGTCAAGGTTTAAGCAAATAGTCAAATTCTCAGTGTGCTGGTCAAAGCATCTAGTACTAGAGAAAATTCGAAACCTCTTTTCCTGTCATTATCAGTTATTCTGTAGTTTACATTATCCAATGATAATGTTCTTGTCTGGATTAGATGGTTTAGTTGTGGAGTATATACCATCGTTTAAGACGAAATCATCAGTGACTTCTACCATCCAGTTCAGAGAACAAAACAACACCTAAATGGAAACCCAGTACATAAACCCCTTTAAAAAGCTGAAGCATTCTTAAAAACACGACAACCCCTCTGATATTATTGAGATATAATTTTCAGTAACAGACATTAAATATGAAACCCTATAAAAATAATTCCTTTAACTCAGTGTGTTAACGAAAATTTCGAAAAAATACACAACAACAGATAGCACCAATTCTATAAATTATCATCGATTCAATCGAATAGGGATACTAGTGTTACTCTCATGGAATACTTGTGATTGAATTATTTTAGTTAAATATAAATTGGAAGTCTCTAATAATTTGAAAAAAGAAATATTATAAAGAAATTATAATGTAAATATGAAATTCACTTTGCTTGAAAATAAGGTTTCCTAAAGTGACGAATTCTAGAGTTTTTGGTAATTGTTACAAAAAGGGCTCAACTTTGTCAGAGATGATGTCTGAAGTAAACAAGCTACATAGTTTGTTCATCAAGGGTTTATTCTGTGTTTCCTAATAGCATTATCCGCGAAAACTTCGAAAAGCAGAAACCAAGTGCATAAGAATACAATTATTATGTTGAATTGAATTTTTAAAACAGAATAATACACGGTAAAACTTACCAAGTAAAATACAAACCCTAAATAACATGCGAATAATAATCCCATACCTAAATATATTGCCCAATGATGCGGTAGACGTGCTTTAATTACAACACTACCCAAGAATAGATTAATTGACACAACTGATATGGATATTAAATTAGCAACAATTGAAACTGGACTATAAAGAAGGCAGTAAAAGAAAGAGAAACAATTACAGACATTAAAATGCAAAAAATAAACCGTTGGTTATATTATACAAGAAAATGTAGTAAAACTTGAATGGACAGTAAAAAGATGAATGATTGCGACAATTATAAATCATACTGTGAAAAAAAACTAAAAACATTGATTGGCATGCTATTATGAAGAAAAATCAATGACAAATATTTACAAACAACAGATAACTACACAATAACTGTGATAGATGACGACGTTCGTGGTGAGGAAATGTGACTTGAAGCTACAAATGATAACACTTTCCAAACAAAAACAGGACTCGGAAATTGTACGAAATTTATTCGGTAAAAGTATATCATAGGGGTGGGTTTAAAGTACTCTACAAGTTATCCTATATGTAAATAGAAATATATATATAAACTTTGTAGCCCTACAGATCAATAAATTTCCCTTAAGCATTTAAGAGGAGCTACCTTAAATCTGATTAATTCATCTATAAACTCCGAGTAGGTCAACAAAGTAAGACAAAGACTAGAAAACTTTAGATCACTGTTTGTTGAAATATAAAAAGATGTATCAAATCAAACTGTTGATAGCTACATGATAGAAAAGCTGATATTCCGTACTAACCAACATCTACATGTCAAAGAATCTACTGTACCACGTTATAATGGCAACATTTATTAACGCAAGTTTCGCTCCTATTCAGGAGTAAACAAGAAACTGTACATTTTAATTGTTGACAGTGACAATCGTTCATTTTATACTTTTAACAAAATTTACTCGTTTTGATAAAATAGACCAATGAGGGAGGGGAGACGAAAATGTAATTTCATTTGATTCAAAATAAATTACCAAAATCATTATTATCACCGAATAATGGAACATGAGTTTAATTATTTAGTAAAGATTATAATAAAACTCAGTGACAAATTATCCAGAATGTAAAATAGTTATGTGTGGTAGCATGCATTGTTCATCCCTACCTTTCTGTAAATATACGAAAAGGTTAGTTTGTGCTTTAAAAGTAACAAAAAATAGATGTTTATTCTTTTTAAACAAAAAAATCAGTAGGCAATAATTGTACAAAAAATAGATTTCATATTCTTAAAAATGTGCAGTCGTTCCAATAAATAAGCGGACTAAGATTTTAGAAACTTTATTTCACAAAATTTACGTAAAATCAACCTTATCTCTTGCGAAACACTGCCCCAGCTATTCAAATACATTTCTCATATCTCACTCCCATTTGTTAGAAGCAGCCTTTAAAATCCCCAGAGGTCAGATTCTTTATTTGTCTTATCGTTTCACATTTTACTATATATCACTTGTTCTGTGATTTCAGCTTGATGTCAGCTTTTGGTTAGATGTCAACGACTTTAAGACTATTTCTAAACATAATTTCTCATTGCTGTGTAATCTACTAGAATGGTATTCACAGATATTTGTTCCATAATTCGACTTGAAATAAGCGACTGGAAAGCATAAGAGACCAAATATATTTCGTGTTTTCATCAACATGCCTCTTCAAAACTAATCGCCTTGGTAGCTCAGTTTATATATTTACTGCACAGAATATCTATAAACTATTTGAAATGAAGAGCTTAGAGGGCGAGACTCTAATTTAGGGACGAGCCAATCAGAAGCGTTTGAGCCATTTCAAGGTCACGGAGCCAAGTTTAACGCATGATGCTGACATACGATCGGTTTACGGCGGATTTTAGAGATGAGCTTATTATTGAAAGGCTACAAGAAATGGGACTACTACGAAGTTCTTGTATGTGTGACTGCGGTTCTGAAATGACTACAATGAAGTCTGAAGACCACCACGGCGAGATTATGTTCCGTTGTCCTTCATGTTGGAGGAAAAAGTCCGCTAGAACAGGGACTTTTTTTGCTCGATCGCGACTGAGGTTGAGACAAATCGTGATAATAGTTGCTAATTGGGTTATAAAGACACAAGTGACACTGGCTGCGGCTTTCGCAGATGTTACCGAGACTTCAGCAGTCCAATGTTATGAATACTGCCGTGATATATGCGCAGTTAAAATGACTAGCATACACCAATTATTTGGAGGAGTAGGACTTATCGTAGAGATAGATGAAACGGTTGTGAGAAAGAGAAAATACAACAGGGGACGTAGTGTAAAAGAAGATTGGGTAAGTAGCATTTTCGTAAATATGCTTAACAGGTACTTGGTATTTATGATAGATCAAGTCGTAAAGGACATTTCCAGAAAGTCACAAACCATCAAGCAAGAAGAATAATACCAATAATACAGGAATATGTACTGCCTGGTACCACGATATATACGGATGACTGGAGAGCATATAGATGTCTTCATCGACTTGGATACGACCACCACGTAGTAGTCCACAAACGTAATATCGTTGACCCAACAACCGGCGTTCATACGAACAACATTGAAGCCATGTGGTCACGATTAAAGGAATTTTTAAGACCATATCACGGCTTCAGAGGTCGACTATTATGGAGCCATATGGACGAATTTTTATACCGCATGCACTATGATTTTAAAACATCTGAACCTTTATCAAATCTTAACAAGTTTTTAAATCATATAAAAGAAGTATATCCACTGTAAATCTTTAGTTTCTTCTAATATATTTTTACTTTATACTGTCTTCTGATTGGCTCATATTCTCAAGGTCACTTAAGATTCGTTCAAAGGTCGTCCCTAAATTAGAGTCTCGCCTAAAGAAGACTTACTCAAACAGAAACTACAACTCAATAGTGAAGTTATCAGCAAAATTCTAACACATGGCTTACTTCATTGAACGTCATAGGCTGATCTACTACTCAGTTGGAAAACAGGAATAACCAAACCTCCATAACAAACATAATATATTATAGTAGTTATTTGCTTTTAGGTTTGAATTCTCTAGGACGGAATCAGTTGTACAAGTTTAACTGCCACCTTTCGTTTGGTTTCATAAGGAAATATAAATTTCTACTATCTGGTTAGTTTAGATTTACAATAAAATGTTCATGATCATCAACCAACCCGAATTGGAGGTATGAATGGTTAAGCGTATAATTTCAACCACTTAGCTTAAGATATGGGCCCAGTTACAAATAGTTGTTCAGTTTAAACATCCGGATGGTAAGATTAACTATTATACAATACGTGGTTTTAAAAGAAAAATGCATAACAGGCACCAGTTTAATACAGGAGTACTTAATCATCTCTGGACACGTTGCTCAGAAGAAGTCTTCCTTCAAAATAATCTATACAATCAAAGGAACTGCATCGAAAGGGCGGTCGAATCAAAATCTTATGCAGTGTTGAAGCGTTAGTGATCCACTAATTCAATCCAAAACACTGCGTGCAAAAATGATAAATTCAACCACTCATCCTTCCATGGACTTAATTCTCTTCTCCTGTATGCTTTGGTCTTGTTTCGTCTCATGATGTTGCGCTTTTTACAGTTATTATTATGCTTTACCGATCTTTCATGATTAATATTCAGTTGTTATTATTACTTTAACATCTCTCATTTTTCTTCATATTTGTCAAATGGACAATAATCTCTCACCTGCTTCGGTTTGGGCACCCGGGCAGTATCACAGCCGTCACACAAATCAATTGAGATTCGTGTGGCGCATATGTATTTGGTGCCTCTTTGTACCAATATCTATGTGTTTAAATAAAATAAAATAAAATAATAATCTCCCATATATTTGATCGGAAGATTATTTTCATCCTCTTATTCTTCTATAACTTTTCCATCATTACATAATCTCCTTTTGATATTTAAAATCTCGTATCATTTTATGAAGACCTCGACATCTGAGGGAAAACCCAGCATACAATGGACAACTCAGAACCAATTAGACGATTTGGACTTCGTAGATGACCTAACCCTCCTATCACATACACACGAACAAATGCAGATAAAGACAGCCAGCATAGCAGCAGTCTCTGCATCAGTAGGCCTCAAAATACTCAAAGGGAAAACCAAGGTCCTCAAATACAACACGGAGAACAGCAATCCAATCACTCTTGATGGCGAAACTCTGGAAGATGTGGAATCCTTCACATACCTGGGAAGCATCGTCGACAAACAAGGAGGTTCAGATGCAGACGTAAAGGCGAGGATTGGCAAAGCAAGAACAACATCCCTTCAATTGAAGAACATATGGAACTCAAAACAACTTTCAACCAATATCAAGGTCAGAATCTTCAATACCAACGTCAAGGCAGTTCTACTGTACGGAGCTGAAAGGCGGAGAACTACAACAATCACCATCAAGAAGGTACAAGTATTTATCAATAGCTGTCTACGCAAGATACTCAACATCCATTGGCCGGATATCATCAGCAACAGCCTTTTGTGGGAGAGAACCAACCAGCTTCCAGCGGAAGAGGAAATTAGGAAAAGACAATGGAAATGGATAGGACATACATTGAGGAAATCATCAAACTGCATTACGAGACAAGCGCTAACTTGGAATCCTGAAGGAAAGCGGAAAAGAGGAAGGCCAAAGAACACATTACGTCGGGAAATAGAAGCGGATATGAAACGGATGGATAAGAACTGGAAAGAGCTGGAAAGGATTGCCCAGGACAGGGTTGGATGGAGAATGCTGGTGAGCGGCCTATGCTCCTTTGCGAGGAGTAACAGGCGTAAGTAAGTAATCATTTTATGATGTAATCTCATATATTTTTTATATATTTGTATATTTATTAAATGACTACAAATACTAAGGTAAAGCTTGAGTATATGAGTTAATCGAAAATTTTCTTCACTGAATTCTCGTTACTTTCAGACTATATTTATTTAACTATAACTTATTGTAGGTTTCACACATCTTGAACAAAGAACAACGTGCTAGAGTTGTTATGTTCTCAGAACTAATTGGTTTAACTGTGAAGCTTTCATTGTCCCTCTGGATAACATTGTCAACACATGCTTTATGGAGAAATACATATAAGATAACAAAGATTCAAGTATTTTAAAAAAAAAAAGTAAAGTAACTTACAGAGAATTCTTAAATTCTGCCATAACTGATCTACTACTAGTAAATGTTAACAATGGAATAACAGCAAATGGCAGTTGAACACTCATTAGTACATTTAAGAAATCATTCATTCCAGTTAAATCTTCAATGCCTATTCCATAGATAATATATACATATATGTATGGCATAAGTAACAAATTAATCATAGATAGATAAATTAAACAATCGTCATAAAATATAAATTATTTTATCACCAGTTAAATTTTTATGCAAAATCAGTGAAAGAAGAGTGACTTATTCCATATCGGTTGATCAGTAAGTAATAACAACCGTTAACAACCCATTAAATTGTAATGTGACTTTACGTTTTAGTAACTTGACATTGTATATTGTACTTTAACATCAGGTAGCTGAATATAGTCAACAGCAAAACCTTGGACCTAGGTTTCGTGTGATTCGGCACCTGTCAGCAAGATATATCTGTAATGTTGAGAGAACGAATGATCCCTCATGGATTGAGGAATTACACAAATATGACATTCTTCACTACTCAGTGATTACTCAGATTTAGATACTACAGTCGTACAGGAGACTAATAGCGGCCTGAATAGTTTGGTGGTAATTTCTTAGAATATAAAGTTTAATGATTCGGGTTCGAATACACCAGGGAGTGTCAGTTTCTTTAAGATTACAGATATGACTTACTGACAATTGCCAACTAACAGGACCTAGGTTCAAAGTTTCCTGTCGATTAGTTCCGGCCACCTAACACTTTGGAATCCACGTTCCACGTTAGCCGAGCATATCTAAAATATTGGAAGAGTTCATGTTCTCAATAGGATGCGAACTCATATAAATGAATCATAAATACGATCCACATTATCTTAGATTACTTTTTTAAAAGTGTAGTTACAAGGACAGGTTTTAGTTTCATAAAATGTGAATTCTTCGGGAATCCAGTAATTAAGTAAAAAATTGATTGCTCAAACTGAAATAGAATGAGCAACATTCGAACATACAACTCAAAGTGCATTACCAGTCAAGTATCAAGCCACCGCTAAAAAGATCACCGAATGGTCATAAATTTAACAATCTATTTCGATTAAAGTATACAAATAAAATAAAAATACAGGATAAAATTTAATGTTATAATTTCAGAATAGTTCAAGAATACATATCGAGTTCTACATTGGTATAGTTTCTACGGATATCGAACCATCGGAATGTTTTGGAAAGATTTTCAGAAATAACACATTATGCGACTAACTGAACATAAAACAAAAAGCAATCTAGAATTAATCCCGATAATTTTGACTTCAAGTCATATGAGTCTTTAATCATATTATGTAAGTTAAGCTATAGTTGCTTTAATATGTTGCTTAGATATTTCGATAATGCATATGTTGGTGTGTTGGTGAAGTCTACTATAGATCTTAAAGGGATATCTGGTTTAAGAATTTTAGGTAAACCATAAAACCATGAAGTATTACATGATTCGGGATACAGAGCAAATCTAGGATTTTAACTATAGTTATTAAGGTAACTAACATAATAATAGAAAATAAATTGTATCTACTTTTTCAACTAAATATTAAAACTACCAAGGTTAAAATATGACTTATCAACCAAGCAAAAGTACAAATAAGCATAAGTTGCACAAAATAGAGATATTATGAAAAAGAATATATAAAGTTGTTTTTGGCTTTTTGAAATGTTCCACTTATCAACAATACATTTCAATAAGCTTACTTGTAATTTTTGACAAAAGTCTAATCTATGAAAGCTAGTTGAAACGAAACAAGTATGAATAAAGGCCCTGTAATGAACATTTTACATAGTCTACATTAAAATTTAAAATTACGGGCAATTTCAAATGCATGCATAAAAAAGTACCACTTTACGAATGTGAATATATATAAATTACCTCTAAAAACAGTCGTTAAAATGGTGGGCAAAATAGCTATAGAACGCGTTATTAACACTCGTTGCCAGCGTTTCCATTTCAAGTTTAAAAAACCTTCCATAGCAAACTGTCCAGAATATGTTCCAGTCATTGTAGACGACTGCCCAGCAGCCAATAAACCGATAGCCCAAATAAAAAGACACGCGAGACCAAACTCACAACCTAGAAATATTCCCTTGATGATAAGATTTGTTTAGAAATAAAACATAAAAGAATATTCATTATGATAAAGGTAGAGAATAGTAAGTAAACTAAATGTTTATAATTATAACGGGAAAAAAACAAATAGATTAGTTAAGTAAGCGAAGAAAATATTTAAAGCATCAATTATTTAGCATGTTATATACCAAATAGTCTGTACTTTAACGTTTACCTAAAACACTTTCGCGTTATTATAAACACTCATTATGTCATGAAAAATTCCTGTTGGATACTAACTATTTAAAATCATAACTCAGAGGAGTAGAAAATTTGTAAAATGGATCTCCCCAATTTAAATTTTAATCCACAATGTAGTAATATTGCACATACACATGCAGTTTAATCAACGTTAGCTAGAAAGTTTTGCGCTGAAAACTAAGTTGATTAAATAATAAATACAATCAATATTAGTAGTACATACTGACTACCAATAAAATAAATTACACTGTCAATCAGTGCTTTCACTAATTAGAATCGAGTTGTTTTAACCTCATGAAGACCAATTTGAAAGACTATACAACTACTTATTCCAACCATTGAGTTTAAGTTTTTTATCAAAGTAACCAACTAGAAAATAAGTATACATATATATGACTATAAAAATAGGGAATCAATATCATCCCTGTAATGACATGTTGAAATATGAGACGAATATGTATTTTATTCTGTAATCAGAATATTTACAAATTTCAACAATTTCATGAATCTATTAATCAAACAGTGAGAAATAACCGCAGTATTAATAGTAATTATCGATGTAACCATGAAATCGACCGTTGAAATAATGTTAAGTAACCAGACTACTATTCTCTACTTGCTATGTAAATCGGCAATAATATTCATTTACAAAAGTAAGAATAACCTGTAAATCTATAGTTGAAGTTCAACTGATTTTTTTATACACCTAAATAAATACAATCAATATGTTGTATTAGATATACTCTATATTCTTTAATCAACAAATAAATTAACGTGGTTAACAGAATTAGTGAATTCTTTAGATCTGAGTGAGTGAACTAGATTTCAACTTATTGTTACTGAACTGGGTAAACAGAAACATTTAGTCATAACAACATAAACAATAGAGATCTGTTCACCTAACTCAAAACATATTTTTATTTTTCAACCACAATAATTCAACACTAATGTCACCACGTTTGCCAAATTCAGTCTGACTAATTGTCCATTAAACCCAAATACAAATAGCCATTCCAATTCAAAATCCAGAACTATGTGTACAAAATAAATAGGTTCAAACGCTTCTCCTACCATGGACAACGTCAAATCCAATCAATCAGTAGTAATCGTAACCACAGCATGATATAATCTCATTAACGTACATACAACACTTCGTAGTCAAATATAATTGTCGTGATTATTTCTATTCAAATATATTATTATTATTATTGATAATAATAATAATTTCAATATCGATTTCTATGCATTGGTTGTTTGAATCTTCCCGTTGATGTTTAGGACTGTAAGTTATCAGTCTCTTTTGGTACATGTACATCCTGTGACGATCACCACGGTATTTACACCAAGTCACAAACGTTCTAATTATCATTGCTTCAACATCTCTACTACTCTCACAAACAAATGATTGATATACTCACCACTCACCCCACTTCTTTCGTCCACATCGAATTCATACTGTGGTGTGTGCTACTTATATAGACATAAGTAGTATATGATATTAGTCGTGAACAGAATGTCTGGCAGCAGAGAGACAAGACAATCGAGCGGTAAAGAATGGAAGCAGAATGAAATTTGTGTGAAAAATGCAAGAACAATGAAGTCTGAGTCATTTTGAGACAAGTGATAGACATTTTCCAAATTAAGCATTTACTATATGATTGTTAGATTTTATTAATAAGTCCTATAATTTTGTGTCAAATACATCCGATTGTCCCCACCCGTGTTCTGTTCACTACAATACAAATTTATACACAATATACACTAAACATTTGGTCCGATTCGTAATTACATGAATATTTCTCTCATACACATTTATTCTCATCATTAATCTCACAATTTCATTTAGAATTCAATATTGGTCACCTCAACATTAACAAATTGATGTTATTTTACTATCCGACATTCACACGCTATAACTCTAAACCACATACTTCACCTTAAATCTGGTCACCTTTTCGGATTACTAATTTGAACATATATAATTGTAGAACCCGCAGAGGATTTGTTGAAATCAATATTCTTCGCTCATATATTAGTATTTTAAAATGACGGGAATTTTTATATATTTAAGTGAGAATAATAGTCAGTTTACGGAGTCGGTTTCTGAACACAATAAAAGCGATAAATTTTGCTTACTCAACACAACTAATACGGAACTGATGATATAGAATGTTTAAAAAGATAAATTGTCTCAATCGAAATATTCATTGAATAGAAATTATAATCAAATATAAGGCTTTTTCATATCATAATCCAAAGCGACTAAGTGAATACAATCTCATACACGAAATTATACTTATACCCTAAGTATCAATCATGCCTACCTAGTTCCCCAAAAATGACTGTGTGAAAATTTTCTAAACAACTCAATAATTATATTTAGGTTTAGAAGTTAGTAACTCCAGTCCCGAGCCCGGGTAAAGGAGGAGGGTTGGGCATGGGTTAACGACCCCATCCTGTAGAAAACTAACTCGCTAAAAAAACGCCAACCACAAAAAATAACTCAAACCATTTAAACTCTGCCCTGGGAGTTGGAAGGTCTTCGTTTAGAAGAAATATGACGCCTCAGGGTGAAAGCCGAGTTCCTTCGGAAGCCATGAAGCCTATGCACCTTCTAACAACCAGAGCAACAATTTTTATAAGTACATGGAACATCCGGACAATGTGGATTCCGTAAGGATCGGTCGTGCACAGACCAAATTACGACACTACGGATCATCGTCGAACAATGAATTGAGTGGAACTCGTCACTGTACGTCAACTTCATTGATTATGAGAAGGTATTTGACAGTTTGGATAGTAGAACGTAATGGAAACTTCTTCGACACTATGGAGTTCCTGAGGAGATTGTCAATATTATCCGGAACTCATACGACGGACTACAGTGCAAAGTAGTGAGTGCATGGAGGACAGCTGACAGTCGCATTCCAAGTAAGAACCGGAGTCAGACAAGGCTGTCTACTCTCTCCCTTCCTCTTTCTTCTGGTGGTTGACTGGATTATGAAGACCTCGACATCTGAGGGAAAACCCAGCATACAATGGACAACTCAGAACCAATTAGACGATTTGGACTTCGTAGATGACCTAACCCTCCTATCACATACACACGAACAAATGCAGATAAAGACAGCCAGCATAGCAGCAGTCTCTGCATCAGTAGGCCTCAAAATACTCAAAGGGAAAACCAAGGTCCTCAAATACAACACGGAGAACAGCAATCCAATCACTCTTGATGGCGAAACTCTGGAAGATGTGGAATCCTTCACATACCTGGGAAGCATCGTCGACAAACAAGGAGGTTCAGATGCAGACGTAAAGGCGAGGATTGGCAAAGCAAGAACAACATCCCTTCAATTGAAGAACATATGGAACTCAAAACAACTTTCAACCAATATCAAGGTCAGAATCTTCAATACCAACGTCAAGGCAGTTCTACTGTACGGAGCTGAAAGGCGGAGAACTACAACAATCACCATCAAGAAGGTACAAGTATTTATCAATAGCTGTCTACGCAAGATACTCAACATCCATTGGCCGGATATCATCAGCAACAGCCTTTTGTGGGAGAGAACCAACCAGCTTCCAGCGGAAGAGGAAATTAGGAAAAGACAATGGAAATGGATAGGACATACATTGAGGAAATCATCAAACTGCATTACGAGACAAGCGCTAACTTGGAATCCTGAAGGAAAGCGGAAAAGAGGAAGGCCAAAGAACACATTACGTCGGGAAATAGAAGCGGATATGAAACGGATGGATAAGAACTGGAAAGAGCTGGAAAGGATTGCCCAGGACAGGGTTGGATGGAGAATGCTGGTGAGCGGCCTATGCTCCTTTGCGAGGAGTAACAGGCGAAAGTAAGTAAGTTAGAGGTTAGTAGTAGAATACGGAATACGCGTTTCTTACAAAATGTGACTTGTTAATTGGATATACTTGGTTTTTAAAATCCCAAGAACAATGCGTTTTACACATTGTTCCACAAGAACTCCCCTTACACTGATTTCTATGACAGCGTATAACAATATAATCATAAGTAAAGTAATTGTTAGTACAGTAACTCAACTTACTCCTGTGTACAAATCAACACTATTTGGATCAAAACTGGAAGCCTGAAAAAAAAAGAAAATACAGCAAATTTTTAAACTACTTTAGATTATGGTGTAACTCAAACGCATGCCAAAATCACAAAATCAACGTCAACATTAATAACATTAATACATAACTACACAAACCATCTCTGTCAAAAATTACTACTTGACATGAAACTGATTAGAAAACTACGAACGACAGGAGTTTAGTGAAAGATAATTACATGGATTATGTTATCGATTAAGATATTCAAAATCGGTTAAACAAGAGTTGTACACCGTGGGGGTCAATCATCGCCTACCTCAACGTGCGGTGTCTACCTGTCCGAGGGTAGAATGAAAGGAGGTTGGGGGAGATTAAGTCAAGACGTAGCACCAGTCCGTGAAGTGAATGACTGTTGGATTGAGCCATCTCAACAAATGCATACATCCTGGTTAGGGTTCGCCCAATTATTGTTATCAATGGCTAGAGACGTTGGATGATACGGTCAAAATGCGCCGCAGTGGCATAGATGCATTCACTCGCGATCTTTCCTTCAATACTAAGTTTCACAATTATTTTTTTTATTCTGTAAACTCATTCCTCCTCAAATTATATTGTTTATGTTTAATCTTTTATACTACCACTGATACTATGACTACTTATACTACTCTGGAGTTTGTCATGGTAGTTTGATTTCGCTGTTCTAATATGATGATGAACCGATACAAATATGTGCTAGGTTCTACATTGAACATGAGTGACTGAGTACATTGCGAGGTGATTGGTCGTCGATTATAAATAAAGATTTGAAGTAATGTAACTTAAAATCAAATTTAATAGCGTAAATTCGTTACCTTCATTTAAATTTTGAGCTCAGTACTAACTAATTTATCTTAGCATTTGATTTCATTAAGTTATTCTGAAAACTAATTTTGAATCTCACTTTTCTATTACCGTAGACATTACTTTTTTCCCATGCTTTTCATCCCTTGATTTTTCTGTCTCAAAGTATTGAAGCAACATAGATCGACAAAACATTTATGTTCTGTTAAAGACTGTTTACCTTTGACTGATCGATGTGATTGGATAATAATCAGCTATTCGTAAAACACAGGTCACTACTAACATTCTTACGGGGGGAGGAGTTTTTGAATTTTGTTTTAAACCCTGTTGTATTGTTAAACGCATATCATAATACAGTGCTCAAGAATTTAGTTTACTGATGTATGCAAATGACACGAATATTGGCAATAAAAAAGACAGACTTATAAAGAAATTACGCTAAATCGACCATAGAGTATAAGCATTTAATATCATATGCATTTGAGTTCGGGATGTTAGATAGACGATTTAATACAACGTTAAATATGAAATCTCAATATAGAAGTTACACAAAAACAATCTTTATTGTTTCTATAGTATAATTTTTATGGAGATTATTAAATTCTTTCAGTTTGCATCACGATAGACCTTAGTTAAACCACTTAAAAACCAGGAAGCACTTCAAAACCGTTTCGTCCTAGTATGAGATTCCTCAGCAGTGAATAGCCACGGCATAGTAGTCAAGAATTAAATCAATTACCTTCATTCTCACTAGTGAACACTTAAACTCTAAACCATTGAGCTGAAATATAACGTATACATCTCCAAGCCCAATCGATTCGCGATATCGTGTGACCGCAATCCATTGCCTGATGTGGATAACTGTCTTGCACTGGAGATGGTTGAACTATACTAGCGACGGCTCTTCTTATGAATACGATCCCCCTCCATACCAGTACACTCTAAATATCTATAACTTACTGTAAAACATATTCTGGTACCAGAAATGCGCAAGTTCCGCTTTTATTTCGAATAAACCTTTGGCAACCTGATCAAACTTAAAGCTCACTAATCTCATCAACTGCGCAAATATCAAAATGAATGCTCATATTTTAGAGTTGCTTCGAGTGACTGGTTAACAAGATATACCACCTTACGATATATCACGTAGTTAATGCGAACTGCATACGGAACTACACACAATGATTAGTACATCATTTTATTATCTGTCATCTGGAGGAACGAGGGGCAATCACAATGGTATTCATCCATCAAATATATTATACGGTAGAAAGCAAATTCATGTGAGTAAAACTGATTAAACATGTTTATGGATAAAGAAAAATGATAGCTAATTACCACTGAAGACTGTAACTACTTACATGTTAAGTATACATACAACGGGGATTTACTGCAATACTGGGCAGCTTGTACTAAAAATTCTTTACTGTAATCAGATAAACGGTACCACACAGAGCGATTATTACTACTATTATTTCAAAAAGTAAAGCGCTTATTTATGATCACAATTATATTAAAATCTATTCTCGTCATATGAATACTTAATTGAGTGAAATCTGAAGACTTCGTGACAAACACACATACTGACACAGCGTTGAGAGGTTATACATTAGCACACCAAACAATATAAATCAAACGATTAGAAAAAAAGCAGTGAAACAATTAGCATACAAAGCTGTTTTTATAGTTAGTTTATACTGAATATATGTCAAAGTGGAAAAACGCAAAATATACACATATCGATTACTAATTACAATCACGGCTAATGATCAACTTGAAAAAATATCGAACGACTCAATAAAGTGGAAATACGAACCTTTTAATAGATTTTAGGGCAGTTCACTACATGTTTGCTAATATCGAATACTGTTTCTACTTAATAAGTTTTAATACACCCTGTAAGTAATAATATATTACTTAAGCTTCTAGAAATTCACATTATTTCTCCTTCTGCGTAAATCAAGTGCTTTGATCCTTTATTCAGATTTGCACTTCCTACCATATGCACGAAATTCTATGTATTTCACTATAAATGAGGTGTAACTCATAACCAAATGCAGCACAAAATCTTACGTTTTGATAGCTAGATTTACGGGTCTTGAAAAGATTTCACAGTACTGAGTTATAGTTAAAAATCCGAATCTTTGTTGTTGTGTAATTAATTTGGCCTAGAACTTGAATCCATAAATAACTTTGACAATGCCGGTAACGAGACGTATTGAGATCACAGACAAACAAGATGAATTAAACAAAACAGAATATCAAAATCCATTATCTCCTTCGTTTAAGGTGAACTCAATTATGTTTGAAGACTATCACTTTCATAATGACAAACTCTGTAACAGGTTATTAAAAATCAGACATGCACCATATGACCTTTAAGGACCCGGACGAAATTGGTGAGACACCCGGAATTCAATCTAAAAGCATAACTACTGATGCTGCAACGGTAAAGCAATATACCAACAAAGATATGGACGATGCAAATGAACTTAAAACAGAGAAATCCGTCAGATCATTATATACAACCGTTGGACTGTTTGAGATTTAAATTCTTAAATTCTATGGAATACTTCTTAAATTCTGAACGTTCATGAAACGATTTAGGGTGAATATCGCAGACGCGGATGGTAACGACGCACAATGACTAATGCACCTATTATACTACACTAAAGAACTTGCTCATTAAGCAACAGATCATTATGTTTTATTGCCAGAAAATGAGTACATCAAGGTCATGAATACTTTCATAACCAGTTTGACAAGCTGTATGATACTATAGAGGCATTTCTTGCTGAGCTGTCAATCAATCCATCATTAGAAAAGGATAAGGTAACAGAATTAAAGAGCTTAATATAACAAATGACTAACCGTAAGATAGCTTTGTCCCAAATCAAACGAAATGCGACATACTAACTATGGATAAATAAGTCCATAATGGTATTGAATGCTAAACTACAATCTTAGATCGTAAAAATAACATGTTTACACAATAAATATATATATTAATTTATTTATAACAAACTATCCAATGCTCAATTTATTCGAAATTATCATGTCAAACCTTGGTAACGATACCTAATTTTACTCAATTTCTACTATCTCAGCATTTAGCATGAAATTTCTTTATGTTTATTAAAGTAATAATCAATCAATATCTCACAAGAAACTTATTATTATTATTTTCAGAATTTAACATCTATTGAAGTACTTAAAATTTCTAAACAATTCATAATCAACCTATTCATGATAAAGTATTAAAGGTTAACAATTATCTATGTCAGCAGAAAAAAAACAGTTACAAACTAAATGAACAATAGATATAATTCATCTACCCTACATCATCATTAATTGATTATTTCGCCTGTATTAAAAGATAACAGAATAACATATAGACCACACAAACAAAAAAGCAATATACACAGAAAATTCTTGTACTAACTAAAATTAACTGGGAGAATTATCAATATTAATATTCATCATAAATGAATAACTTTATTTACTGATAATTTCTGATTACTTCGCTTAATGACCCAACACCCATTCTATTTAGTACTTGTAAAACTTTCGATAACTTTAATTACTCTCAAATAACACCTTTCCGTCTATGAATTTATAGCCAATACTTGAAATATGTTGATAATGTTTGTGACTACATTATTAAATTATGCAACATCACTTCATTTCTATAGACTTTTACAATCGATATTTGAATGAATTTTAGTACTCTTCTATTTTACTAAATACTGAATATAAAGAAATACGTATAAATAGATTGTATAGCTTAAGGAAATGATATGGAAAAAAATTTTCCTTGATAACACGCCTTTATTCTTTGCAATCTGCCCTATATGATTTGTTAAGTTAACTAGGATAATTAAGTGAAATGAGATAAAAGTATAATCATCTGTGTGATTTAGTAAATTTTCCATTAACTGATGATATTAAATTTAAGCTGACAAAGAAATTAACATCAAATTATCAATGAAAAATTGACCAAATATAGACAAATATCTAAGGGTGTTAGATTTCAAAAGTAGGATTCAACGCGGTTAACAAGCTATGATGCATTTTCATATAAACTGATTATGAAATGCAAGGCCATTACAGAGGTTTTAAACAAAGGCATTAGATATAGACTATAGGGGCAATATATGATTGTAAAAATCAGTAACAAAAATTATATATGGAAATTATATTTGAAACAATCCCAGAGATTGACATTTAAACAATCTCTTTGATGATCTTGATTTCGACTATTACACTGAAGAAGTCCAGACAAGCTTGCTGGATGATACATTGGAATTATTTAAATTTCAATCACTGAGATTAGTTCAAACATAATTTTCACATACAACGACTTTACTATAATCGGCCCCCAAATTTTGTCAAACTATTCGTTCTAATATTGACGAATATTTGCATAAATCAGTAACAAATAGTTAGAAGTTTGCCAACAACTAGCCAAAATAATGTTGATTAACTAGAAAGACTCATTTCATACACATAGTTCCCTCTATTATCTTAAACAGAGAAAGAACGAAGACTGGTGGAGAATAATATGAATCCATTTTATTTTGTTAGGTTCTCATCAGCTGCTTACAACCTACAATATTTGAAAACCAACGCTATTACAGATATTAGCATACTTATACATAAGAGGGTGATCAAAGATGAATATATGTATCATGATGTAGCAAAGATTTCAATAGAGTTAATAAGGTTATAAAAATTTTTGTTTCAGATAAATAAAGTTTGGGACGGAAAGTTCCAGAACATTGAAATAGTGATCGGAACTCATTGAGTTAACAAACATTAGATGATTAAGTAATGAAGCACCTGGAAATAGATTAATGGCAATAAAGAAGGATATGAATTGCAATCAGTCAGTTATGAATTGAAGAAAGATGACAATGATGTATTTTAAACTTCCGAGAGTTGAAACAATGAATGACGTAATAAATAAAAAAGGAGGGTTTAATGTTACCAGAACAAAGAAAGATTTATTAACGCCTCTTTTCGGATACATAGATCTGGTTTTAGAGGTTTGATTGCTATTGCTTATGCAAATTTCTAAATTTCGGAGTTTGATTGTATGTTAATCACCTTGAAAGACATCAGTGTATCGACTTCATGTCCTGTGTCAAGGAGATGTCTTGCGATAGCACTGCTGAATGCTTTTAATCCATTTGATCTTAAACCTTTCTGAATATGTTCTTTGAATCGGACGTAGGCTCTCCTTTCTGTTCTGCCAATGTAACTGCTTTGGCAGATACATGTAAATTTGTATACACAGTTAGTGGTAACATGAAAGGGATACCTATTGACCTTTGTATCAAAGAACATGTTGTTTTGGACAGGACAATCAGTTTAGCTGCGGATGTCTCTAAACCAGTAGATATTTCAATATCCGTTATTTAGACTAAATTCATCTCAACAACATTGCAATAAAAGCTATAAACTTGAAAATATAACAATAATGTAATTGATAAACAAAAAACTTACAGCATTTGTAAAACGAATAGGAATTTTACCTTCAAGAGTGCAATTCTCAATCTAAAAAAGCATACCAGAAAAATAACCAGAAATTAAGAACAGGCAGGGTAATTTTGTCAAAGATAAATGGGGTTCATTAACTTAATCAATGCTAAAGTGATAAGTTGAAACAATCTAATTGTTATTAGGTAACTTTTAGGGAAAAAATCTTTAGTTTGACTTATTATTACTGAATAAAGTTGTACATATTTATTGAATAGATGTAGTAAACAATGGTTACGTTACCTTACAAGTCCGATTGATATTAACTTGCTAAACAACATAATATCAAGCACACGTAAATATCAATGAATAAAATTGTCATAATTCATAAATATTATAATGAATATATATATTTGCCATGATCGAAATGCTGTACATAACTTTCCAATGAAAGTCAGACCCAACTGTAGACGTTAATTTGACATGATGGTCAAATTTGTTCATTTAAAACGACCCAACTAAACTACATTGATTTTAATATTTGTACACTGACGTCCTACCATGCCGCACAAATCAGCTAGATGGATGTAAGACCATAATTATCACGTTTCATGCTACATGGTGAAATCGTTTTGTAAACTGTATAAAGATACGGCAACATTATGGGGTTTTTAACGAATAAGCAACCGTTTTATTGACATAAACTTTTTACAGACAAAATGGTTTATAAAAGGTCGGACATAAGGAATAATATAACTTGATTTGTCCCACAGATTTTTAGGGCAGCGATTAGGTTTGAAAATAATGAAGTTAGTATGATAAGTACTACTCCTAAAAAGGCCGTATGAGACTGGCCTCAAGTAGTTGTTAGTCGGGAACGTTGGTGGCTCTTTGAAGTTGATGAAATCACCAATACATTGATGGCCATGCCAAAAAAATGTTAAATCAGTGATATATATATATAAGAAAAATATCAAAACAAAATATAACCTACCACTTGTTTAACATTTTTACCATAAAACCCGGCACCAAATACTGATACAACAAATATATTTATCATAAGAGAAACGAATAATGCAATGGTTGATTCAATGAAGTAATACATGTTCGCTTCACGAACCTACAAACAACCCCCCCCCCACAACAGAATAAAAATACAATTTAAAACAAAAACATAACACTAGCAACGAGAAATTAGAAATTAATTTTCTATGTATAACTAGAAAAATAATGAAGAGAGAGTATAAAATAAATTCGACACAAAAAATTTATACGTGAAAAAGGGTCACACAAACGAACATCTATGACAGACGCATACTAAATGGTGTTTTATTTTGATACTCATTAGCATTATAATCACGAAAACCATAAAATATATCCCCATCTTATGAGTGATTTACTGTTGTTGTTGTTATCTTTGCTCTACGTATATTTATTTTAAGTAATAACTCGATAGCTAAATGTTGTATTGAAATCAATGAAATTGTGATGATTTCATAAATTTACAATTCAAGTGAAATAAACTTTTTAACCCTATCACGCTAAAATGAAAAATAGAATGCTCCTGGAACTATCAACCTAAGAGTTAGCCTCATACTTTAAATGAACTGAAAAAAGTTAGTACATACTGACTAAATGTATAACTGCATCGGTGAGAATAATTAATATGACAAATATTGATTTACTTCGATTTCTTTATATACACTAACATTAATTTACATTACCTGAACTTTAAATTTTTCAATACAAAGTACTCCAATACAAGCTTGAAAAATAGAATTTTTTATCCTCATATGTTGGAATATTGAAATCGAAAGGAAAATTATAATGACTACATCCATTTTTAGTGTATTTAACTGAAAGTAATTATTTGCACTATAAACAAGTTATAATTAAAAGACACTTATATGTTAATTCCGGTGAACTCAGTAATTCGTACCTTATAATAATGGATAACTTACAATGTTCTATGCTATTACCTGATTTAAAAACAAAATACTGAATATTTACACGCTTAGTCCTTAACCAACTAATATTATTTTTGCAGTTCGTCTCATTCAATCCGTTCACCCACCCCAAAAGCACAACTATAGCAGTGTTCTAAAACGGCACATAATATTGACCCTATTGGTGAAATAGTATTTTTCGAACTCTACATTCTAATATTTGATACCGTTAAAATCAAAGTCTACTTACTAATTCATATTTGCTAAAAATATTAATGTTTAACATTTATTCATACAACCTATAGAATTATCAGTTATTTACAATAATATAAATAAATAGGCCATTAAGTACACTATCCTAAAAAAATTACGATAAATGTGGTGTGAAACAAATTACTGAAAGGTTGCATAATAATGAAATACGAATTTTAAAAAATAATAAATTATACAGATCAAATAGAAATTTTACTTAGACGGACTACATTCGACTCAAAATTACGCTTTATTATTTGTCGAGGAAACAATCTTCTGTATTGAATAATTTATTGGTAACACTTCAAACAATTAAATCACAGGAACCATAGAACCTAATCTAGCGAGTAAAAATATTTATATCCTTCATTTAGAAGCATCACACAACTGACTGATCACTTATCCGCTTTCCTACTGAGCCTTAACATATAAAACTTGGTGCAGGAGATTCACTACATTTCATGTGAAACAGGACGAAGTTAATGAATTTCGTGTTTGAAGACTGCACTAAATAATTGATAGTCTCCACTGTACTCGAAGAAACGTCAGATTTTATCACCACTTGTTCATTTACGCCTCAAATCCAAGCAATCTGCCTAAGACAACGTTAATCAGAAACAGAGAGGAGCCAAACATTCTCAATTAGGAGACTAGGTTTTACAGGCACAGAGCAGTGCTAATGTCACCGTGTTATGCACCCGAACTTTTACAACCGGACTGAAATCATGACTGCATCCAAGTCGACTAGAATCGGCATGAATAACTCTACTTCTCAAGTATACGTAACTTTGCCCTATCTCCTACGCCATCTTACTAACTCCCAGATATTTTAGAGAAATCTTGGATATCAATGTTGAGCATAGGTAATTAATGAGCAAGTTTCTTTTCTATTGTTGCTCAAAAGAACAAATTCATAACCGAAATTACTACGAAATGGAAATACAATGCTACCAAAAACCCCAGCATCTCTAATGTAAACCACCAGCGGACAAACCAAAATCAGAATCAGATTTCAATGCCCACCATCTTGTTTATATTGGATACGACTTCTACATTCATAAATTCTTTGAAACGATCAATGTGCACGTGACTTCGAATCTATAGCATTCTGACGAAGTGATTACCATCAAAATACCTAAACTGGATTTATTTAGTTAAAAGAAAACTAGTACCAGTCTTAGATTGCCCTACTGACTTTAGTTTACAGCACTTAATTGGGTAACATCTTATTTCATCCCTTCAATTATCAATTCTTTTTCATCGCTACTACTTCTTATCTGAGTTATACTCTTCTAGTCAACATAACTTTTAAAGCCATCAGTACATAACTTTTGTCACTAACTTAACATTTCTAAAACCCTGACTTCATACGTTTCAAAATTTCCTTCCAGACTATTTACACTAGTTAACATATAAATAATCAACTGCATAAACAGTTCTTATAATTTTGATACATTTATTGCCTAACTTTATTCGCCTTCATCAACAACGAGTTTTCTGTTAAGAAGATATACAGTAAATATGTTTTTTTAAAGAATTAATACTGTTATTTCTAGATTATAAGCAGCTGTGTAAAATCCATGAAATAATTGAATTCAGATTATTCCGATAAGATTGTTGTTCTTAAAAGTAACTGATATATCATAGAAATTAATTTGAAAATGCCTTGTTGAAAAGTACACACAGATTAAGTAAAGACAATCATTCGACACACCATACAGTATTAACAATATATGTTTAATGAAACATAAATCATAGGAAAAATTACGAACGTACCAAAGATGGATTATTTCGATCTATATCACGTGATTTAACAAGAGCAGAATGTAAATAAAAATTATGAGGCATAACAACAGCACCGAGGATACCAACAGCTTGTTCCAGCTCAGGCCAACCACAACCAGGGCAAGAAGGCACAAATAATCCGCGTAAAAGAGATAATTGATCGGGTTTTACAACAATATACTGAATGGAAAAAAATTAAATATGGAAATTATGTAGTTATTTTAATGACATCATTCTGTGAGTAAATAAATGAGAAGCAGCCATTTAATTTTGAAACACAAAAACAAATTTCAATTTTAAACTCGTAGATACGTTTGTGAAGATTTTCCGCCAAAAATGATATCAGCTTGAGAACGCTTGAAATTTAAGAAGCATTTAACGGTGGTTTCGTCATAATTTCTGACTCCTCGGCAAAACACACAGGTCTCGTGAATAGCACAGCTGTTTCACATCACAAAGCTATAATCCTATGGTTATATTAAGACAATGTAAAATAAAAAATGGAGTAACTACAGAAAACAGTTCTACAAAATGGATATTTTGTTAACTTTATGAAAAAATTCCTGCACGAATTCAAAATTAAGACAAAAACAGCCATTACGAATAAGAAAACATCTTACTTAGATCAGTTAGTCACAATTAATATAGTTTGGTACATACATGTATCAGGCAAAGTTTCCACAAGGCATCAGCACAGCAAAATGAAATTAACAAGATGAATATCAAAGTAGAAGTATCAGTGACAGTAAAGAACATCATAATACTGAATACACAAATGGATAGAATAGTAAGAGTTAATGTTTTCCTCTGTTCACCTATACATCAATAATTCTCACTGAATTCTATCCTTTCTAATCAGATTGTTTCGATTCGTCTATAAATGTACGGTATAGGTTATCAGGTTTTCATTATAAGACCCGAAACCTTTGTGAAAGATTTTACTTCCATTGAAGTTAATTAATTTTTGTAAAAATTTTACAGATCTTTTCTTTGTATTTATTTATTTATTATTTTAACACATAAGTATAGGTACAGGGAGGCACCAAATACATATGCGCCACACAAATCTCAATTGATTTGTGTGAGGGCTGTGATACTGCCCGGGTGCCCAAAATGATTTATTTGTGACATCCCAACGAATAGAAATGAGAATTTTTAATATTTCGTGAAATCATGTAAACCATTTCTTCAGAGTAAATAAATCTTATCTTCATATTCATTATCTTTTATGTATAGGTTAGTGTTTGTCTAAACGAAAGTTCACACAAAAAAAACCTTAGTAGAGAATAATTTTTCTTTTTAGGAGATTTTATACATTGTGATCCCTTGATTAATTTAAATAAAGAGAGAAGAACAAGATATGTAGAATAACATGGATTCATTATATTTCAGTTCCGAATAGTCTGGATTTACACTAGTAACGCTAACATAAATCAATAAAGTTTAGTTAGAAACAAAAGGAAGAAACGACATATTTAACATAATAATATTTATATGTTAAAGATGAAATCGCAAAAACATGAAAGCGAAGTTATTAATGATAATAAATACATAAATGAATAAAGTGAATTGTTTACATTCCTAGTAGATCAATACAATAAATGAATCTCCAAGGTTTCAAATTAGTTTCAAATGGATTTAGTGTATAATTTTATATTAGGAAATAATAATTAAACAAAAACTTTAACTATTATATCAAATTGAAAAGTGAAAATTTAGATTATGAAATAGTTTAAAGCATTTATCATTATACACTTAAAAGTAGATGGTTGTATAAAATCCCGACCGTTGTAGCTACCTTGACGTGGTGGTCAGGCTTGCCTATCGTGATGAAGCAACTGAATTATACTGGCTGGAACAACCGTTTCTCAACGTCCTAATATGCCAGACAGGTCGGTTGAAGAGCATTAAGACTAAAAGCAACAAAGTCAAGGTCTGAGAGCGAAGTCGTACTGCTGACTGTTTATTTATTTATTTTAACACATAAATATTGGTACAAGAAGGCACTAAATACATATGCGTCACACAAATCTCACTTGATATGTGTGAGGGCTGTGATACTGCCCGGGTGCCCAAACCGAAGCACTGACTGTACAGAGGTGTGACAGCAGTAAGGTGTTTCCTTTAGACAACCAGCATAACAGTGATGCTGTCTTCCCACAAGGATGGGTGGGGTTAGAATTGTTCGACCCTAAAAATGCACACCTCACCTTATCTCCAGTGGTCAGGTCTCAACAAGTACGGAGCTAACACGAAAATTACTCATAAAAAGGTCGTGTGTGACCGACCTCAAGCAGTTGTCCTTTGGGCATTGAGGTCACACTCTCAGGTCACTAAGACCACCTCTAATCCAATTTCCTTTTTAGGTACCTCCAGGAGAACCCCTCCATGTTGTGGGCAACTGATAAATGATAACTGCCCTCATACCTCCAACAGTACTCAAGACTGATTGTTTGTATAAAATGAAAATATCCTATTTTTATTAAGATATATTCAAAGTGTTTTGTTTTTATTTACATTGACTGTTTATTTGTGTTTCTGTTAATTATACTGTGTTGTTTTTTTTTTGTTTTCCAATTTGTTTACATTTCTTTCTTTCAATTAAATAGGACAAAATAGGAATTGTATTACGCTATTGATCTTTCGGTGGGTTTGTTTTAAAGGAGTTTTAATCTGATATGCCCACTAATTTGATTATTATTACAATAAGAAATTTCGCTACAAAAATTTATTTTTTGAGCGTAAATCAAGTTTGTTTTCCTGTATTCGAAAAACATCTTTTTCCGGAATTTTATTTGAAAAATACCTTTGAGAATTTTTATAAAAATCATGAAAACAAATGATAATTAAAAATATTTATATATAATATTAACTAACCTCATAACCAAATGTCACAGCCATAATAGTTATTAAAAGTCCAAAAAAGAACTCTAATTTACGTAAACCATATTTATCAAGAAATAAAAAAGTGAAAGTATCCAAAATAGTGATAAGTACACCAGCCCATAAAGGTATATAACCAAAACTTAATAAATTTATAGCTATAGCAGTACCAATCACTTCCTAGAATCAAACAAAAAAAAGAAATAAAATGGTTACAAGAAACTGCTTTGCTAACAACAACGATTGAGATTAAAACATTTAAACATATTAATTTTTATATCAACTTTATGTTGAAAATTCGAAAACACAATCACATAATATAATTCATAGGGTTCAACAAATACATTAGTACAATATATATTGCAAATTAAGCCGAGAAATTAGATAGTCAAAATTTTACCGTTAGTTTTTTGAAAAAAAACCAACTGAATGTTCAGACGTAGAAAGAGTAAACCAGGACTTTTGTGTCTGATTTTGAAAAATTTTATTCAGAATATCAAGAGAGTTTATCGTTTTATGGATATAGCCAAGAGAACTACATTCCTATATCTTCTGAAAGCTTACATAAACAATTAGGTCTTGTGAACAGCTCTCATTCAACCAACTATATTGAATACTACCCCCCAACGTCAGTAGTTTCGCATTTTTCCCAAATGTGTTTTTCATCACTGTGTGGACGGACCACGGGTGAGCTTGAGGAAGCTCTAAGAAGCTCAGAAAGAACTGAAGATATTCCATCTAATCATCTTTTGAAAGAACATTCCAGAATATCTACGTGTAGCTTTCCTATTGGAAAAACGCTAAAAACCCTTTTATGTAGATTGGATGACTATAATGATGACTTCGCTTTTACGAAAAACTATAAATACATGAGTTTTGTACCATATTTGACATTCACAAACTCGAAAACATATTCTTTATAACAGGGTTTAGGTATGAGCAAGTAGTTGGAACTCGAATACCTAACCCGCTAAACAATCACTCTTTTGTCTCACTGAGAAGTATAAAAACCTAAACTTATGTATTTTTGAGTGTCAATACGAAAAATGTTTTGGAGAGATCTACAATCAAACACTTTTGAGTTTAGGTCCTCGTTCAAACAAATGACTAACAACTGTAGGTAGCGGACCGTTACATAACATAATAAGTGGAAAAATGATAATGAAATCTTATACTGCAGAGAATTCTAATAAAATTCGTAACAAAATAAACACAGCTTACTTGCATATCTGACCCAATAATTGCAACTTCAACCATAAGCCATAGTATAATACGAGCCGATGTAGGATATTCATCATAGCATACTTCTGCCAAATGTCTACCTGACACTACACCCAAACGAGCAGCCAGACGTTGTAGAAATAATCCCATCAATGTAGCTAGGAGTAAAAGCCATAGAAGCTGAATGTCAGTTAGAAAAGAAAAACACGGTGCTTATAATAAACCGGTCAAATTTCTCACAATAAATATTGTTAACAAATAAGCTGTGTTACGGTAAAACTTGAATTAACAAATTTAGACGTTTAGACTGGTAATTTGAAATTTATATATTTGAATCCTGTCAATATTCAGATTTCCTTTTAACCACAAACATCATCCTTAAAAATAAAAAGGTAGTTCGCTAACCATCTAACATATATAATAAATAAAGCAGCGACTGCAGAAAAATGATGAACTACCTGCAGTCTCGACTAAAATAACAAAAAATCATATAAAACACAATAAGAAAGATTAGATTTTCTAATACCATACAATTACATGATTTTCGTGAAATACAAAATATTCCCGAACATAGTGAAGAAGCAGTAAGTAAACAATCGCGACCAGACAGGGACAAACACTGACAAGTGTTAATAAAAGGTCTGGTTTCCGATAACAGTAATTGGAATAGAAACACGTCATACACATTATAGACAAAGGTTAACGACCAATTAGAAAGTACCAGCAAGACTTTTGTTCATTGTCAACTGAATCAAGGTAGACGTAGTAAAAATAAACCCTATGATCTAAGTACAGATTAAAGAAAATCACATATTTAAAAGTTAAGAAGCTAGAGTTTCACCGAAAATAAGTCGAAATTCCAATATTTTATTGATGAGCTACAGATCCCGTATACGTTCATTCAGTTGATCAATTATTCCACTACCCACTGAATCCATTAAGTATCGATAACTTAAACTACAAGTTCAGGTACCTCGGGAGTGTCAATAACACCAATCTCTCTCAGACAACAGGAAAACAACTATGTACCACAATATATTCTTTGACGATTTAGAAAAGGATTTGATTTCATAATGACAAATCATATTTACTTCTTTTTAAATAGCCTAGTTCAATAATAAGATCAATCAGAACAAATTTTATAAAAACATAGTAATAACCTACTCTATAATTAGCGATTGCACCACTTTGCAAATCTGATTCTATATTTCCAGGATCCAGATAGGCAATACTCATTAAGAATCCAGGACCTGTGAACGTCCATAATCGTTGAAAACTGAACACGTTTCTCTCCTTTAACAGAAAACGCGGATACTATTATGATAAGAATTGAGACATAAATATTAATCGCTGAAAAATTCCCATTATATTAAAACACAATTTCACTGGTTGAAATCATGAATCCATTGAAGCTAGACCACCATGGAAAACCTGGAAGCACTGGACGGCCGTTTCGTCCTAGTATGGGACTACTCAGCAGTGCGCATCCACGATCACGCTCCTCGCGAATACTGTATAACTTTGCTTAATAAAACTGATTTCCCCTGCCGAAGTCCTTAGTCATTACAATAGTACCTCGTTGACCAAACCAAATTAAGTAAAGTAGGGTAAAATCTGCAACCTACTGGCTGAAAGTTGAGTGCTTCAATTTCTAAGACGGCACTCTTAGTTTAGAGCTAATAATCAATGTCTCTACCGTCAACCTAACACCGGTGATTAAACCCGACCATCAGTGAAAAATATTAGTTACTACTTCTGACTCAGTTGACTATACAAAACAATATTTGCCACGATATATTCAATAAAAATAACTGTTTAATATTTATTGATTGGTGTTTCATAAGGATGGAAGAGGAGTTTACTAACAATAATCGTAAAATGTGAAAAGAATGAAATGTTCCCCTACAGAACTTGGGCAAAATTATTTGGTTTAAAACTTGAGATGAAAGACAAAACCTAAAACTTTACTTTATACGAATTAACTAAAATTTACTTCACGTAGAAATATTTAGTAGAACATACTTAAAGATAAAACACTGAACATAAACAAGCAAGTATGATTTACTTACCATCGTATAAATTTACCAACAGATTCGGTTATCAGTACATTGACAATATAACAATCTCAAGATGTTATTACGATGGGGTGACTATAGTAGCAATACTACACTTCCACGCCCTTTTATCAAATAAGTCTGAATGAATATCAATGTAATTCTACTGGCACAAAATTAATCTAAAGATTTACTCAAATTTGTTTTCCGGATACACATTTATGGAATAAATCTTACATAAAACACACAAAAATAACCGGATTGGTCACATACCACGTGAACAGTGTACATGTCAAGCCATTTAATTAAGGCTAAATATGAACAAATTGTTCAACAGATATTTTAATCTCAACTAATCAACAATACAATTAAAGCAACCATAACAAAAATATAAAAAAATGCAGAATAAATAATCTCAATGAACAATAAGAGAAACGGATTTCAACTGTATGTATTACTTTGAACGGTTCGATTTTCGAGTGCATTAAATTTAATGCCACGAATTTACTGCTGAGTGTTGTAGGTATATCACCCTCAAACATATACTTAAACTTTATTACGTAAAATAGGGTCTCATTAAATTCACAGTACTGTTAATCTACATAGTTTTGTTAGTGCAATGAAGCTAGTACGTAATACCTTGAAAAAACCTCATACATTAAAACAACTCTCAAATAAGCGTTAATTACATTCATAAATTGAATTTTGTTTGTGAAAATTATGAGATTTTTGAAAATGATTGGCAAATGCAGGAGAAGATGACCAGTGTAGCTGCAGCCTCAGCAGCAGTAGGTCTCAATATACACAAAGGGAAAAGCAAGATTCTCCGATACAACACAACATGCACCAATCCAATTACAATTGACGGAGATTTGGAAGATGTAAAATCCTTTGCATATTTGGGCAGCATCATTGATGAACACAGTGGATCTGATGCACATGTGAAGGCACGGATTGGCAAAGCAAGAGCAGCATATTTACAACTGAAGAACATCTGGAACTCAAAACAACTATCAACCAACACCAAAGTCAGAATTTTCAATAAAATATCAAGATAGTTCTACTGTATGGGGCGGAAACCTGGAGAACTACAAAAACCATCATCCAGAAGATACAAGTGTTTATTAATAGCTGACTACGCAAAATACTTCGGATCCGTTGGCCAGACACTATCAACAACAACCTACTGTGGGAGAGAACAAACCAGATCCCAGTGGACGAATACATCAGGAAGAAACACTGGAAGTGGATAGGACACACATTGAGGAAAGCACCGAACTGCGTCACAAGACAAGCCCTCACATAGAATCCTCAAGGCCAAAGGAAAAGAGGAAGACCAAAGAACACATTACGCTGGGAAATGGAGATAGACATGAGGAAAATGAACAAGAAATGGATGGAACTAGAAAAGAAGGCCCAGGACAGAGTGGGCAGGAGAATGTTGATCGGTGGCCTATGCTACATTAGGAGTAACAGGCGTAGGTAAGTAATTTACTTCTTTAATGTATACGTTTAAACATTTAGCTAAAGATAAGCCTTATCTTTCCTAGATCGAAAACCATGAAGAGGTTAACTAAACCTAGTTATATATACACGAAGCCGTAACCTGATCGTTCAGAGAACTCTGTTTTAACTACTGGACAACAAAACTACCATAGACATGCAGGATTTCACGAACGCATTCCAATCAATACCTCATTTATAGGCTTGATTCATGTGCTTAGTGACCTCGTATTTTCTGGGTGCTTCTAGAATACATTCTCTACGCCTCATCAAGACTTCTTGATCTAGCTAGCAGAGCCGGGGACAACGGATTAGAATAGCCTGTCGTGTCACTGTATCTTGACCTTCGTTCCGTTTACCGAGTAAGGTGAACTCGTAATAGCATTCAGGCATATCATTTGGCGACGGTGGTTTTGGAAACATGGATCCTTCTAAACTTGAACTATTACTTGAGCAGCAACTGAAACTAATGCAGAAGTTGACAGATATCAAGATTTCTCCTCCCACACAGCCTAGCACATCTAATGCAACCAAAGCATCATCAGTAGACGGCATCGCAAATAGCGTTGCTGAGTTTCATTATGATCCTTATGCCAACGTTACTTCTTACATGTGGTTTCGGAGTTATGAAGACCTATTTAAATTTGATTTCTTGCTAATCAAGATGATGCATGAAAGGTTCGGCTGCTACTTCGAAAGTTGGGTACAAATGAGGTACTGTAATTTGATGATACCTTTGAACCCACGTGATCGCTTATTCTCAGACACAGTCCAGACATTAAGCCAACATTTTGGCGACAACTCATCATTGTTTAATACTCGTTATCGATATTTGAAGCTAATTATGAACGAAGACGATGATTTTCTTACGCATGTGGACATCGTCAACCGTGAATGAGAACGCTTTCGGTTGAAGTCTTTGTCTGAAGACCAGTTTAGAGCCATCATCTTCATTTGCAGCGTCCAGTCCCAAAAGTTCAGTGACACAAGAACACGGCTACTGTGTCGATTGGTTCAAGATCCTAAACTCACCCTTGGTGACACGGCCAATGAATATCAACGTCTCATTAATCTACAACGAGACACAACTATGATTCAGAGTGGTGGGTTTAGTCGATCTGAAGTACGAGTAGTGCAACAGACATTTAACCAGAATAAATGTGCAATTGCTACATCCAGTCCATCCCACTCCGGCTCAGTTCGACAGACTAAAACGAATGCCCCTGCTCCTTGCTGGCACTGTGGTGCATGGCACTATGTACGAAACTGCTCATTTAGGCAACATCGAGGCAGGGAGTGTACGGTCGTCGGTCATGAAGATGGGTTTTATCTTAAGAAGAAGCCAAACCGATCCAGAAGTACCAAAAAGACTTCCGAAATCCTGTACCATTTCATTGAGCTTAGTATCTTCATGTCGAAGCTCATCCCCAGGTGAGAGGAAATTGATTACCCTTAATATTAATGGACATCCGTTTAGATCGCAGATAGGCACGGCAACAGATGTCACCATTCTCTCACGTAAAGTTTGGACCAAAATAGTTCTCCCAAGAGCGTTTCTATCATTTTATAAATAAGCTGATTTATGTGTTCAGTGACCTCGTATTTTCTGGGTGCTTGTAGAATACATTCTCTACGCCTCATCAAGACTTCTTGATCAACACGCCTCCCCTTTTTAATAGCGTACTTTCCTGGGATCAACGTACATCTTGAGTGTTATTCGCTGCTGTCGGAGAGGCCACCTTCTGGAATGAAATTCAGCTTGTTGTTGAGCTTTTTCTCGTGTTTGGGGCTGCCGGTAAGTTGAAGGTATCAAGCAGGATGTCAAAAGGAAGATTTACTCCTGTTGATGGGCGGTTCGGGGATAGCTGTTTGCGTATCTGGTTCCGACGACGTGACCATCTATCGCCTCCTACCTCTAATTCGAGCATGACACAGTCTACTCTTCTGACCACTCGCGCTTCTATCCATGGACCATGGGTTGCTCAGTAGTCACAGTCAGTCAGTCAGCTGCAACGTAGAACCAGGCACATATATGCATCGGTCCAAGTTGCCATAACTCATTAGCACAACAACATGAACATCGGATTCATAGAAGTAGTCACATCAAAAGTAGTAGTATATAAAAGAAAGATTGTGTAAAAGGATATAATACAGGAAGAAAGAATTAGTTCGTGGAAAGAAAGATATGAAGCGATTTTAATCTCTTAGTTTAAGGGAAGACAAAGAGTGTATACACTTACGCCATTGTGATCGATTCTAAGCCATGTCACACAGTCTCCAGCCATTGGTTACGATAGTCGCGCAGACAACAACCAAGTAGATTGCATCTACCAACATGACTCAGACTAGAAGTTGGTGACTTCAAGCACTGAAGCCACGTATTGGTTTGGCCGCCCCTAACTTTCTTCCAACCAACCCCAACACTAGCCAGCATTGCGCGTCGTAGTAATCGGTGTTCAGACATACACAACGCGTGACCCAACCATCTCAGTCGCTGAAGATTTATAACCTCACCAACTGATTTACCATCATTTCATAATATCCTACGTCTAACCTCACTATTATTTACCTGGTGATCCCAGCAGATGCGAGCATTATTTCTAAGGCATCTGTAGTCAAATACTAGTAGCTTACGAGTATCCTCAACTATTAACGGCCACGCCTTGCAGCCGTAAAGTAAAACAGAAAGAACTGCCGCGCAGTGTACTTGTCCTTTTATTGATAGACGGATATCTC